CCCGCCGGGCGAGCGCGTCCCTCCTGCCGGCGGCGGCTTCCTCCGGAGCGGTGCGCGGGCGGCCTGCACCTGTTGCTTTCCCCGGCTGTAGCCGAGAGAAGGCCGTGGTGTCAAGGCTGGCTTATCGTCAGATGCTTTCAAAAGCATTTTCGAGTTATAACCGGTGGTGTCATTTTCCTACAGGATAACAGGCTCTCCATTTGGTCTGTTGGAGATCTTGGAAATGTGGGCCTCAATGGTGAATATCAAGGAGAACCTCAGCTGCTGTGTGACATTAGGCACAATGGTGATGTTATGGACATGCAGGTAAAATAGCTGTGTTGAATGGATCTGTATTTTCTTTAAGGGCATGTCGCTGAAGAGAAATGAAGTGATAGCTGTTAAATGCTGAGATTGACAAAAAAAAAAATATTGTGAAGAAGAAGGGCAAAACCAACCAGTACCAGTTTGTGGGTTTGGGTTTTTTGGTTTGTTTGTGGGTTTGGGTTTTTTTTTTTACTATACCTACCAATAACTTAGGTTACTCTAAAATCAAAATTATCATCTTGGTACTGACATCAACTAATAGCATGTTTATTATCTCTCTTTAGTTTTTGGATCAAGAGAGAATCGTGGTTGCCTCATCAACAGGAACTGTAACTGTATTCCGTTATCATCAAAATAACCAGGTAAGTAACTTGCATTGACTTTAAGCTGCTATTCTGTGTAATGCAGGTCACACTGATCTCAGCATAAGATTTCTCAAAACTGCTAGAGCAAGAAACACCTGTATGCCAAAATCAATTTTTTGAAGTCTGTTAGAAGCAGCTTTGGCTTTATACATACAAGGAAAGAAAAAAGCATTTTGCACACATACTACATAAATTATATTCCACAGCCAGCTAGACTGGGGTATCAGTTTGTACATATCTGCAGCCAAATAGTCTATTCACTGAAAACATACTTTAAGAGTTTAGATTGTTTTGGGGGAGTGAGCATTAATGGGCCTGTACCTGCCTTATTAGAGTTTTTGCATTCTTGAACTAAATGATTCATCTTGAATTTCTTCTCACAAGTGCCACGTGAGCAAAGATATGTAAACTCTGTAGTCTTTTGCTTTGATTAGAAATCACTGAAAGTAAATGCGTAATGACTTTTTTATATATTCACATTGACACAATGAAGACTAATATCTGTTAATAGTTTGATGTAGTACCTAAAATAAACTAAATTCCCTGCAATCAAAATCTAAATCTGACCTTATATTTTGTAAAGGCCTCTGCTCTTCTTTGACCCAGGGAAAGACTGAAGGGATAAGTCTAGTGAAAAGCATTTCCTAATTCATAAATAGATTGTGTTCTTCCTGATTTCTAGCGCACATGAAGAAAGTGGTTTGGAGAAGAAATAATGTTTCATTGAAGGCTTGTGTGCTCAAGGCTTGAGGAAAAATTAGATCTCTGATTTATATAGCAGATTCTCATTCCTGTGAGCTAGTGTGGCTTTCCTGGAGCTTGTTTCTGGTTTCGTGAGTATTCTGGAAGCTTTGGTCTCTCAGGATCATTACTTACCAGCAAAATTTCATGTCTCTTTACTGCTTAGACTTTATCTGCCAACCGGCGGTGGGAGAAAGCCCATTATCATGTGGATCAAGACACATCTTGTGGTGGAGCAGCATGTACCGGAGTCATCTGCAACAACCCAGAAATTGTTACTGTTGGAGAAGATGGTAGAATAAATCTCTTCAGAGCTGACCAAAAGGATGCAGTAAGAACTATAGGTATGTCAAATAGCTGTTCAAATTAGTTTAGATTGGAGTGGTTTGTCCAAATGATAACCAAAAAGAAAAGGAAGTCAGTTAAGAATTGAATGAAAAATTCCAAGTTGAATGTATTTGCTCCAGATTATTCCTATGTTCCTCCAGACTTCAGATACCTGAATTTTATTTCAATGTATTTCTGTATTCATTCAGATACTTGCAAGTTAATGTTTTCACCAATGGAGAAGTTTCGATCCTTCCATCTAGAATTCTTAAATGTTATGACAGCATACATGAAATACGGTTAGATGTCAAGAACTATTGTGTCCCAAGTTCATTGTAACTGGATGAGTGAAATGGTAATTTCAGTTCACTGTTTATACCAAGATTAACCCTCGTGGTGTCCATATTCAAAAACATCTATTTCTGTGTTTCTAAAGGAACACCGAGAACCAGAAACCACTGTTTGTATCCTGTTGTTCTGCTGATATCGTGGCTTACAGTGATCATTTCTCCCTTAGTGAAATAGTTCCCTATTTCCTAGAGTAATAGATCATGTGAAAGGTGTCTAAACTTGGTTATTCTCAACTCTTCTATCACGCGAGTCTCATGGAAATAGAATATAAGTTTGTAGCATCTGTTGGAAAAGAAACTTAGAAGCAGAAATTAAACAATAGACAGTAACACCATGTTTGATAGTGGCATTATTAAATTGGGACTTTCTCCCTGAAACTTCAGTTTGACACAGCACCTGTGTTTCTCCTTAAGCAAAATCTTGCCTCTAACGGATGAAGGAATTTACACAGTGATAAGCCAATTAAGGAAGGAAGTGCTCTGGGAGTTCTAGAGGGGGTACTTATGTGTGCATGGCTGTGTATACACACACAAGATAAATCCTATTAATTGCATACAGTCTTTTAGTGAAGCTCCTTGAGAATTCCTGTAAGAAACCTTCCTATGCTTTTACTAAAAAGTAGCAAGGCACAAGGTAGATTTTTATTAGTGCATGCCCACAAAACACAGTAACTTCCCCTTTGAGGGGTGAGAACATTAACTAGTTCAAAAGGATTATTTTCTTTTTGAACTTTTACTTATATACAGATATTAACACAGAGTGTTCTGGTTTAAGTTTAATAGAGTGGAATGTTTTGCTGATTTGCAGGAAGTAAATGTCCACAAAAGAAAATCTATATTTTTCTCTGAGCAATTACTCAGATGCTTATGTACAAATTTAATAATATGCAGGATGCAAGTTGTTAGTTTTCTTCGTGCTCACTTAATAGTACTATGTACAAATGCTTGCTTTGTAGTAGTAGCATCAGCCAGTGTTGGGCTGCAGTAAGGCTTTGCATTGAGATTTGCTGGTGCATCAACATTACGAAATTGCTTGTGAAAATTAATTGAGAAATGTCCTTTTGGAAATAGGAAGGGAAATGTTAAAACAGGAATGGTCCATAAATAAGTCAATCACACCTATGACCTGGTAAGTGAAGCTTACCTGGAGTTATGTGGGAGGGACTGGCATGAACTCATTGACTAGAGGCTGTTTCACAGTGAAAGTTGGAGAGTGGGAAAGAACATCTTGAAAGATGCTTTCAAGGTTTTCAGGATGGAGTTCTACAGTGTAAGCAATCCTTTGTACTGGTTCCCAGTTCAATGACATCTATACACTTCCCAGCTTCTGAGCTGAACCCTGAACATGTTTTAGCATGAAGATAGAACTCTTGTACCTCAAGAAATATTTGTAAAGGAGTACCTTGCCTTTTTTATTATTGTTTAATGGATTTAAGAGTATAATACAAAGTTTATATGTTTATAGTCAATCGTGGTAGGAAAAAAAATCTCCAAAGGTAGAGATGATGTAAAAATCTTCTGGAGCCAAAAGATGTATCACTGCTAAATCACTTACTGTTATTCCTTCACAAAATTTTAATTAATTTAGAACTTCAGTGTTCAGTAATCTAACATTTCTTTTTAAAGGTGTTTTGGGGGGGGGTAGGCTTGTTTTCTTCCCATCGTCTTTCATTTGAATGGTAGGCAGAAAATTCATTCAAATATCTGTAACCAGACATCAGTGTAACTTGTCTGTCCCAGTATCGGAATATGCAGCAAAAAATTCACCTGTATATTCAGTATGGACTTACACAAAGAATTTTAAAACAATTTAGGTGAAAGTAGGCTTAACAATGTTACTCCATCATAATAAAGATGAAAAGTTTATTTATAATAACAGAATGCAAATATAAGAATACAGTGGCTGATATTCTCTCCTAAAGCCTCAAAAAGTTTCACCTCAATGCTCTGAAGTGTTTGACATTGTAAATTATTCTGACCGAAAGAAGCACTGGAGAAAAGGACCTGAAAAAAGATATTTGCCATTGCGTTATGAAGATTAACAAGCAAAACATAATTCTGGTTTGGCTTTAGGGACAGGGATGGATATCACGTTGACAGTTCTTGGAAAAGGCCTAAAGAAAGTTGGTGAATTAAGTGCTTCTGTATACAACTGCTTAATGTTCTTGGTCAGAGTTGCTGTTTCTTGTGTTCAAAAGAAGAACTGCATTATGAAAAGCTCCATAGCTTGCCTCATTTCAGAAGATGCAGAGCAGATAAAGAAAACTCTTATGAAAACCATGGACCTGGCTAAATTGATTCCTCTTCATAGGAACTATACAAAGGATTCTTCTGGATCAACAAGTAGTTCTGTAACCACCAGAGCTAATTAAATATAGCTTCTTACAGATTTGTCTCAGTAGTGTTTGATATAGGAAGCAAGGGTTCCTTTTTCACAGGGTACCCTTGCAACACTTAAAATTTCACGACACTGATCTGTCTCTGCCCCTGAAAATCCTGAGAGACTGTAACCATTTTTTAAGCAGCTGTGTTCTGCTTTCTAAAGAGTTATTTTGTTGCTATTAAATGGAAACCAGCATTCTGTAGCTTTACCTGAAGGCTTTCCTCCTCTCTTTTGCAGACAACGCAGACAGCAGTACTCTCCATGCAGTGACTTTCCTTCGCACAACCGAGATCTTGACAGTCAATTCAATTGGACAGTTAAAAATATGGGACTTCAGACAGCAAAGAAATGAGCCATCTCAAATATTTTCTTTGTAAGACCTTCACTTTATTACGTACTTACTGAGAAGCATGTGCTACTTTTATATAAATCTGATCTAAATCTTTCCTGATACCTTCTTGACACTGGGATGATAAATTATTTTTTTAGAACGCTTTTAACTTCTTTGGTATTTAAATAATCAAAAGCAGACTCTGCTTAATGGCTGAATTACTACTGTGGCTGAGCATTGTGTTTAGGTGGTCTGTTTTATGATTTAGCTCTTGAAGGACTATTGAACCTGTACACTTGCTCTTTTTTAAGAAAAAAAAAAAAACAAAACCAAAACCCAAAAAAACCCATCACCAAAAAACCCCCACACTAATATAAAGTTTCTGGCATTTGAAATGCATTTGAATTATTATTTTTGTGTCTTATATGGTATTGTGAGAAAACAAACTGAGCTAGATTCAAATCCTATTGTCTGTGAAATAATTCCCACTGATTCAATAGGCTGTGGTTGAGGTACCTGGTTTTGTTAGCGCCCAGCCTCCCTTTGTAACTCTTGGTATATGTTGAAGCTGTAATTAAAACATGAATTTCAGAGTAACCTTCTTATTATTATCATAGAATGTTTTTGGTTGGAAGGTACACTTAGAGTATTATCTGTACGCAGGGTTTTCTCACTACTGTAAAGCTGTGAGATACTGCGTAGATGCCTGTATACCACAAGGCACAGAACCTGATGCTCACCCAACTGCAGCTTCGTGTTATTGCCGTACCTCTAATTTCCAGTAGGTGTCATGCGGCTTCAGCCTGTAGTGACCAGATGCTGCAGAAATGCAAGCTGCAGTTACCTCGTTCATCAACACTCCTCAATCAAAACGCTTCCTCTTAATCCTCAATCTTAGGGATTAAGAAGGAGAAAATAGAAGCTGAATAAAGAACTCATGTTTGTTTGTTTGGTTTGGGTTTTTTTCTTCTTTGCAGGACAGGTGACAGAGTTCCACTGCACTGTGTGGACAGGCATCCCAATCAGCAGCATATTGTGGCCACAGGGGGCCAGGATGGGATGCTGAGTATATGGGACATCAGGCATGGTACTATGCCAGTGTCCCTGCTAAATGCTCATGAAGCAGAAAGTAAGTATCTGAAATGGAGGGGGGAGAAGAAGGTGGCATTTTAGAAAAGTTTCTAATTTCTGTAAAAAATTAGATGTTGCAGCTACTTAATGCGTCTTCAACCAGTTGGCCTCAGTTTGTTCCTTCTCTGTATATGAGACTGTTCTTATCTAAAAGCCAACTCTATCTAAACTAAAACTAGAATTAGGAAGCAGTTCTTTAGTGTGTCATTAGATGCATTTAATCAGAATGGCTTTGTTTCTAGAAGGGTAGGTATATTAATAGTCACAGATTCTGTGGTATGCAGGCATAGAAAAGCAAGAATGCATTCACTAGCAAACTTGAAAATGTGAGGAAGGAGAAGATAATACAGATCCATTGGGTGCCTCCACAATGCTGAAACAGCTCAAACTTTCCTGGTAACTTTATATGAACAAGATAGCAATTCACTTTGTGCTGAAAATTTCTTGATTTGATGCCACAATTATATTTAAGGAGTAAAAACATTTCTTGAGACGTTAAGTTTTACTGACTTAAGTATCTCTTCCACAGTTGTGGTATTTAGACACAAAATAATTATACACAAAATAATTATGTGTGTGCTGGGAAGGAACGCATGCTGTGAGCAGTTTTAAACTTAATAGTAGGGAAGATGGTGTGAGAAAGTATTTGGAATGCCTGAATTCAGATACAATTTTAACTTTTAACAATTTTCACAGTACTGAAAATGCAACAAAATAGAGTTTATCTTTTCTTTTCTTTTCTTTTTTTTTTTTTTTCCCCCCCTTCCCTTTCCTAGGGGAGGGAAACCCGCAGTAAAAAAGAAAGGGTGGGGGTTTGGGTCTCCTACCCCCACACACTTAAGAATGGAAGATTTTAGTGTGGGCCTGCATGTCCATATCATGCTAACTAAAGTGCACTGAGCAAAGTACTTGATACTTGTTCTGAAGTGGTTTTGTTTGGTTTTGGTTTGATACTTCCAGTGTGGGAAGTTCACTTCCATCCCTCCAACCCTGATCACTTATTTACGTGTTCTGAATTTTTTTTTTTTTTTCCCCCCCTTCCCTTTCCTAGGGGAGGGAAACCCGCAGTAAATAAGTAAGGGTTGGGGTTTGGGTCTCCTACCCCCACACACTTAAGAATGGAAGATTTTAGTGTGGGCCTGCATGTCCATATCATGCTAACTAAAGTGCACTGAGCAAAGTACTTGATACTTGTTCTGAAGTGGTTTTGTTTGGTTTTGGTTTGATACTTCCAGTGTGGGAAGTTCACTTCCATCCCTCCAACCCTGATCACTTATTTACGTGTTCTGAAGATGGATCTCTTTGGCACTGGGATACTTCCACAGACATATCTGAAAAACCATCTTTTCTCCATCAAGGTAAGGATGTTTGAAGTCAATCTGCACTGAACTTGTCAGTTGGCAACATAAAGTAGATGTTCTCACATGACCTAATTAATAACACAATTCTAATACAGAAAATTAAAAGCTGGTTTCTTTTCTTAGAATGAAAGTCTTGATAGGCACTTCAGGCAAACTATTTATAAGGCTAACAGTTGTGTGAGTTTTTTGTGGTTTGGTTTGGTGGGGTTTTTGTTTGTTTGTTTTTTAAATCTGACATACTGTGTCCAATATGTGAAGGGGAACATCTAGTATTTCAAAGACATATTGTTCACTTAAAAATCATCTGTATATAGAAAAGACACGAAGGCAGCCTAAATGTTACATTATTATCTGAGTCTTTGAGGGAGATATATAAAATGTCATAATGCCAAAATAATTGATACATTAATAGGAGAGTGGAATTATGAATTTACAATTCAAGGTCATAACTGGAACTTTCAATGAATGAAACTGGATCCCTTTGTACCGTGGCAGGATTTTAATTAAAGATATGACACTGACTTAATAAAAACATTTATTTTCACATTATAGTCACAAAGACTGCTTAATTGCTTGCCACTTCAGACTGTAAACAGTGGGGAAACTTTCAGATGTCATCTGCTGCCTTTGGCCTTGGCAATGCTGCCATTCAAAGCTCAGTTCTATATAGGGAAACAGTAGGATAACCGACTGAAGTTGCACTCTGCATATTTTCAGGCATATTAAATATAAACCCTTTAACATCACTTCAGCCACTTGTTAATTTTATGCTGGATGATGGTTTTCAAACTGTGAGGCTTCAGTTTGAATGTAAAATGTTATGTGGGAAAAAAATCAAAGTCAAATCCGGGTATATTACTTGCTGCAGAGTAAGTAGGGAGAAGAGACAGTAGGGAATTAAGTGTTATTAAAGCAAAGCTGATGCCCCAAACATAGCAAGACACTGTACAAACACACTTTTGTTCTTAGGTCTGTCCTTGCTTTAGTCTCTGGCTGGAAAAACTTGTAGATACTTACACTGTTCGTTCAGCAAGATGAGTTCATAGCTATATTGACCTATTTGTCTTAAGTGAGGACAGAGCTGGTAACAGGTTTCTGTAATCACTTAAAGTACTTGACTTTTTTTTAAGCTATTATTTCCTTCATTCACCAAAGAGACAATATCCGTTAACTAATCTGAAAACTGACTTAAATGTAAAATGGTATTCCCATTATGTCTGTCACACACCTACTATGTTTCTCCAAATTCTGAGAATATATGCACTAAATTGGAACTTACTTCCCTGTCTTCCC